CCTCCACACCCCGGCGGGGGGAGGGGCGGCCGCGTGGCACTTTTGTTGCCGGCGGCAGCCGAAACCAAAACAAGGATTTACCGGTTTCAAAATAAACCAGAGTTTGGTTGGGATTAAGCTGTGGTCTTGAATGGTATTTTATTAATGTTTAGGATGGTTGAGTAGAAAGTATCCTTATTTGTTTTCTAGATATCGCTAAGCTGGAAGAAGCTGCAAGTGTGTTTGAGAATTTGAATTCAAATTAATCTTGACAGATTGGAGAAAGCATCAAATATTGGATGCAGTTCAATAGAAGCTGTTATCTGTTTGTATACAGAATAAGGAATGATTGGCTAGGAAATACTTCTTTGGAAAAGGATGTGGGAATCATAGAATGGTTTTGGTTGGAAGAGATTTCAAAGATCCTATAGTCCAACCCGCCTGCCATGGGCAGGGATGTCTTTCATCTAGACCAGGTTGCTCAAAGCCCTGGCCAACCTGAACTTGAATACTTCCAGTGATGGGGTATCCACAACTTCTCTGGGCAACCTGTTCCACTGTCTCACCGCCATCATCGTTAAAAAAAAAGAAAAAATTCTTCCTTATATCCAATCTAAATGTGCACTCTTTCAGTTTAAAGCTGTTGCCCCTTGTCCTGTCACTGCAGGCCATGGTAAAAAGTCTCTCTGCATCTTTCTTATAAGCCCTTTTCATCTGTTGAAAGCCTGCTCTAAGGTCTCCCCGCAGCCTTCTCTTCCCCAGGCTGAGCAGCCCCAGCTCTCCCAGCCTTTCTTCCCAGCAGAGGGGTTCCAGCCCTCGGATCACTGCTGGGGCCTCCTCTGGCCCCACTCCCACAGCTGCAGCTCTGTCCTGTGCTGAGGGCTCCAGAGCTGGGCGCAGGACTCTTGGAGCGGGTCTCAAGAAAGCAAAATAGAGGGGCAGCATCCCCTCCCTTGACCTGCTGGCCATGGTTCATTTTATGCAGCCCAGGAGAAGATTGGCTTTCTGGACTGCAACCACCAGTTGCCAGCTCATATCTAATTTGTCATCCACCAGTATCCTCAAGTCATTTTCTGCAGGAGACCCACTGTAGTATGTCACAGGCTGATAGTGAATTAGCAGTGCTGTGCTTCTGCAGTAAAAGCACACTTCATACAGACATGCATAAATGAAACTGTCATTTGTAAATTTATGCTCAGTTGGCTCTGATGTGGCCTCAGCTGCACTATTGTATGCGGTTTGGGGTACTGCACTTCAAGAATGTTGTGGACTGTTTGGAGAGGTTCTTGAAAAAAGCCATGAAAATGGTCAAAGGTATGGAAAAGAAGACCTGGTGCTTTTCCAGTATCTGTACTGGTACCAAAAACAAACAAAAAAACCCTTTCACCACCCCCTGCCCCCGCCCCCAGTTAATGTTTTGCTAGCTGTTTATAAAATATTGCTTTTATAAAATTTTGGGTGTTTATTCTCATTTCAGTGACCACTTAAAAACTTGTAAGTGACATTCAAATAAGGTTTAAATTGTAAAATATTTCATATTGAGTTTTTGCATGTACATCAAATGTGCTAAGAGTTTAAATGGACTGTTAATTGAAGGCCTGTGAAAAAGTGTAATTCAGTTCTGTGAGTTAAGTGATAAAAATAGTGTGAGTCGTAAAATAATGCTGTACTGCCCTCTGCTGTGTCTTAAGACATGTACCTCTTAAGAAATGCCAGTGGTTCAAAAGAAATAGCAAGTACATTTTCTTTTTTTTTTTCTTGTGCTCCCACATTTTTCAATTTATGAAGGAATGGATTTAGAAAACATTATGTAGTTTGTGGCATAGTGTTCTCTTAAGTTTTATGCAGAAACTGTTAGAAAAAAAGTCCATGGATTTGCAAGTGTTGCTGACTGCAACAGATTGAAATCTGGAATACAAGTAAACGTTCCTGTTTCTGGCGGGAGATGGAATGGGAGGTTGCAGTTGAGCTGTGGGAGTTAGTAGCCAGTCAGATGTTGCAAGGCAGCAGGAGCTAGAGTTAGGGGTTTGTAGCTGAGATTAAAAGTCAGGAGACCAAGCCAAGGCTTAGTACTGGAGACGTGACCAGAGAGGACAGCAATAAGCACAACGGGGGCTTACTTTCATTGAGAGATAACAAAGACCCTTGTTTCATCTTGCTTCATCTCAGAACTGTTTTGCAGACAATGCTCAGCCTGCTAGAGATGATCAACAACAGGCCCATTCAGATCCCTTCTGGCACAGCATACAGATATTTTCAGTTCTCCTCCTGCCCCTCTTTGTCTTTGTGGTAAGCCCTATGGTCCAGCATACAAGCCGGAATGATGCGGCATTAGGCTGGTGAAAGGAATCTTCATCAGTTATAGGAAACAGCAGCACAGATTCTGCTGCCTGATCTCCTGATTTCAAGTTTCTGTGTTGTCACTGGCCCCTTCTGAACAGCCCTGAGTTGACAGAGTGTGCGGGCAACCTTCACTGAAAGGCCCGTCATGCGACCCGGATGTCAGCCAGTTAGGGAGAGTGAGAGGCGTGGGTACTGTCAGCCTCTCCGCAGCCGTAGTGGCAATTGGGTGAGATTGAAAGCTGCCTTAGGCGGTTGTTTGCTTGACTCCGGAAGCTACGCTTTTGCTACGTGAATGATGTCAGGGGAACGTGGGTTAGCTTTTTCCGAGGGCAGTTCAGCCCAGTAACTGGTAAGCTCATTATTGTTACGACAGCGTTTTTGCTAAAACATGCTAAAACATGAGCTCTTGTAAAATATATAGTTTAACCCAGTATTTTGGTTTATAGGTCTTAATACAGATAAATAACGACATATATTTGAAATAGATTACAGCATAATCTATAGTGTTGTATGTTAATGTCAGTGTTTTCAGTTTTAGTCTGTTGCAGTGCTTCAGGGATGTGTCAGGGTATATCATATCTCCTTGTACCTGGAGATGAGAAAGCCTGAGTCAAAATTCAGTTGCTTGGAATAACGACGAGTATGCATTTTAGGAACTGAGCTTCAGTAAACGCTACAGCTTAAAAAATGAACTTTCTCCTCCGTAGTCATTCTGACATAACTCTAATTCCCATTAACTTTTTTCTAGAATTCCTGCTTTTTAAATTCTGTGCTATTTTAGCTCATGATTTTAGGATTGTTTGATGGTAACTTTGTAACCATTAATGAGATGCAGAAAACATCAATAAAATGTAATTTTTGTTTCTTTCCACCTGAACTACCTTAGTGACAGGCCCAGTGATGTGTATATTTTGATCCTGACACTTGTGGATCTGTGGAGAGATGCATATTACCCATGCTTTTTAAAAATCTCTCTTCTGTCCGATTCCTGATGTTTGGTACATATGCATAAGGAGCCAGAGAAAAGCTGTGGGGCTCTGTTGGGAAAGTGTAAAGGACTGGTGTCTTTGCAGTGTTTCACATACTGGGGACTAAGTGCAAATTCTTTTCCTACAAGTCACAAACAGATTTGCAATGAGTATCGGATGCCATGTGGTGGTTAGACTCTTGCGGCTTGCAAAAATACCTTCAGTGAGAAGTCTCTTCATAGCTTTGCAACATTGTTGTCAATGTAAAATGTACATCTGAATTATAATTTAGGCATTGTGCAGTACTGATGTTTTTCTAAACTGACGGCTGTGTTCATAAGGGACTTCACAATCCT